CCCTTTCCCACTCACTGGCTTTGGAAGAGGCGGAGTCGGAGGGGGAGATGTCGGAGGAGCCGTCCCACTGCAGCCGGCTCATCAGGGCCTGGCTCTCGGCCACCTCGAAGCTGTCGTTCTCCACGCTGCCCTCAGCCTCGGGCAGGGACCTGGACACAAGGGTTAGGGGGGTCCCCAACCCCTGGCACGGGATGGGGGGACACACAGGAGGGGCAGAGCCCCACGGTGCTGCAACCGCTCGTGGCAAAGGGAACCAACCGAGGGCTCGATCCACGTCCTGGGTTGCACAGCCCAAGCTCAGCCCTCCCCAGAGGTGTCCTCAGCCCCTGGGGACCCCCGTGCAGCCCACCCAGCCGTGGTGTCTGCTGGCAGCGGGTGGCAGAGCCTTGTCCCCATCCCCTGGGACCCTCAGGACCCCTGTCACTTACGCAGAGGGACCCAGCAGGTAAACCCGGACCGATCTGCGCTGCTCATCCGTGTGCTGGGGACACCTCAGGGACCTGGTGGAGGGGACAACAAGGCTGTGTCAGGCGTTTTGCTGTCCCTGTGTCCCCCTCCCCAACTCCCACGTGGATCTGGGCAGCCTGGGGACCCCCTCCCCAAAGCCCACCAGGCAGGGACAGCCCAGGACACTCACCTGGTGCACATCTTCTTGGTGTGCTCCGAGATGACCCCGCATTGCTGGGAAGAGAAGGGACAGGTGAGCTGGGGGGGCAGGGGGAAAAGCTGCCACACAGCCCCCAGGCTGCACCCCACCATGACAGCCCTGGGGACCCCAATCTTGTGTCCCCAACCTCCCTCTACTATCCTGTCCCCCCCCACTGAGCAACCACCACCCTGAGCCACCACATCCCCCCTAGGTTTCCTCATGTCCTTCTCACCAGGTTCAGAGGACAAATGTCCCCTTTCCCAGCCTAGAAGCCAACCCTGCCAGGACAGAGCAGAGCCAGGAGGGATCCTGGGAGTCCCTGTCCCTGTGCACCCCCTTTCCTGGCTGGGGACAGGGGTTCTCTGTGCCCCCCAAGCCCCCCGAGCCCCCCGCACCGTGGTCAGCAGCGTCCGCAGCTCCTCGGGGCCCAGCGTCTCATAGTTGATCCCTGCCGAGTTGCTGTACTGTTGAGGGGGGGGAGAAAAGGGGGTGTCAGGGCTGGTGAGGGATGGGGACACCCCCAGGGAATTGCAGGTGGGGGACACACGCACAGAGGGGGGGGATCAGGTACCATCTCCCCTCACCCTGGGCTCACCTTGAAGGGATCGGGGTTCCCGCGGACCTAACCTGGAGGAGAGTTGG